CACAATATTGACCTCTAGCCTGCATGTTTGTCAGTGTATGCATGTAGACACCCATGAACACAAACACACACACACACACACACACACACACACACACTCTCCCCCACCCCTGGCTCCTGACAATCCCTGATCCATTTGTTTCAGGAGGCTGGGCTTTTTTAGGTTCCCTGTGCTCAGTGCTCAAACATTCTGGTTTTCCTTTTCCTAAGGAAAGATGTCCCCAGTGAGTCTAGTTCAGACAGAATGTGGCCAGCAGAGGGCAGAAGAACCCTAGAAGATGAGGGGGTGGAGCAATGAGAGCACTTCTGAGCAAGATTTCCTGGAAAAACTCTTAGTTGGTTCCCATTTATAATAGCCACTCTTCTGTCATATTCTTTCCCTTTGCCTATTCCTTGCAAAAATTTGTCACTTGGCAGCTGCAAAGGCTCAGGGCTTGGGAAACTCCCAGCAAGTCCGGGCCACAGCCCCCTGTCCATCTATGTTTCAGCAGCTGGAGGGGATTTAGATGGAAGTGAGGGAGATGGGAAAGGATGTGGCCTGGATGGGCACTCCCTCCTCAGTGGTGGCCTTCCCCAGGACTGACGCAAGGTCACTGAGCTCTCAGAAGACTGCCAGGGCTGCCACTGAAGGGAATGAGCACCGTGTCACAAGGAGTGTGCAAGGAGTTGGAAGGCAGGATAAATAGCTTAATTCCAAAGTTTTTTGGGTTTTGTGGGGGTTTTTTGTGAGAATTGATTGAGAAGATGGAACTGGACTTGGCAGTGCATGCCTGTAACCCCAGCACTTAGGAAGCACAGGAGGATGACTAGGAGTTTAAGGCTAACCTTGGCTACATAGAGTAGTCCTGCCTGGTCTACATAAGACACCAACAGAGACAGGGAGGAAGGGAAAAAGTAAAAGGAGACATTGGAGAGATGGCTCTTTGGTTAAGAGTACTGGCTGCTCTTTCAGAGGACCGGGGTTCAAATCTGAGGACCCCTATGGCAGCTCACAACTGTCTGCAACTCCAGTTCCAGGGGATCTGACACCCTCACAGACATACATGTGGGTAAAACACCAATGCAAATTAAATAGTAATTTTTAAAGGCGATATTGGGAGGCAGAGGCAAATGGATCTCTGTGAGTTCAAGGCCAGTCTGATCTACATAGGCAGACTCTAATTGAAACCTCATTTGGCTCAGAGTTTGGACATGGAATTCTCAGAAAGAACATTTTTAAATTGCTGAAAATCCAGAGAAAGGCAGAGGCGATCATTCCTGGGACTCGGTTTGTAAGGGCACTGTTGTACAAACAGGTGCTTCCCTGGGAGTGGGCAGAACTACTAAACAATTTTTTTTAAAGCTAAGATGACACTCTGAACACAAGTGTGTGTGTGTGTGTGTGTGTGTGTGTGTGTGTGTGTGTGTGTTGCAATCAGAAGAATTTATTCTAGCCCAGGAATTGGTGGATGGTGATCCTTTGCCTGACTTCATAAGGCAGATAAGCCTAACATGGATCTTACAATTTTCAGTGGTTGAAAAAATTCAAGATGAGAATAATATTTCATATGTTAAAATTGTGTCCAAGTCAAATTTCAGGGCACACAAACAAAGCTGAACTGAAGCAGGGCTGAGGCTGCTCTGCAGCAGGCCACATGACATGAAAAGCATAAGTTATTTTGTTTTGTTTTTAACTTGTCTGGTTCCTTATGGTAAAAGGCTTTTGGTATCTTCTGGAGGCTGTTAAGAGTGGGCAGGAAAGTCTTCAAGGGAGACCCCTTGTGATGAGCACCTGTGATTCCAGCCCAGAGCCAATCTCAGCAACACAGCAAGTTCAAGTTCAAGGCCAGCCTGGGCTACAGGAGACGGTCTCAAAAACCAAGAATAAGTAAATACCCGCCTCTTTCTGTCTTGTGTGTGTGTGTGTGTGTGTGTGTGTGTGTGTGTGTGTGTGTGTGTGTTTTCAATTTGGGAAAATGAGCTATGAATTAAAGTGAGGGGTCCTTGGTGCCCAGTGAGGTGACATGTGATCAGTTAAGCCTGGTTTTTAAGGCCATCCCTGACACCACAGTGAATTTGAGGCCAGCCGGAGCTACATAACCCTCGGGTATAGAAAGGTGTGATGTGAGGAGAGGGTACCCAAGAAAGCGCAGGGCCTGTGGAGGTAGCACCAACCACAGTCCTAGTGTGAATTATCTCCTGTCATTTCGGAAGGGCAGCCTTTATTCATGGTAGGAGGCTGGTCCTGGACTTATATCTGAGTAGTCGGGCAGCTGTGTCTTCTTCACACCTCTGGTAGAACCCAAATTCCTGACTAAGGCAAAAGCTTTGCAAGGGCTGGCAATGTCCTCCCAAGGCGTCTCAGGTGTTCCTAGAAGGGAAGAGCAACCAATGCTACCCAGGGGGGCTCCTCTCACCTGCATCCCTTCTCCTGACCAGACTTGTATCTAGAATGCTGTCAGTAAGGACCATGCAAACACGAATTCTTCCAGCGAGGGCAATGTGGCTAATGCTAGCCCCTGGACTCCCACTTCTCACCCCAGGGCCAACTCCTTATGGTGTCCAGGCTATAAGGAGACCCTATCCCATAGACAAGCTAGAGAACCCTTCAGGGGCTCTGCGTGGTTAATCCCGTGTTAGAAGCTATAAAGATGCCCGGGTGTTGGTAGCGCATGCCTTTAATCCCAGCAATCGGGAGGCAGGTATCTGTGAGTTCGAGACCAGCCTGGTCTACAAGAACTAGTTCCAGGACAGCCTCCAAAGCCACAGAGAAACCCTGTCTCGAAAAACACACAAACAAAACAACAACAACAACAACAAAAAAAGATGCAGTAAAGATGTCTGCATCCGGAGGCAAAGGCCTTTGTGATGGCCCCTACTCTCGCTGTTAGAGAGAATGAGGAACTATGATTTAGCCATGCAGAGGTAAGGAAACACAAAGGTGCAAGGGATTGAGTGATAGAGTTGGGGAAATAAAAGGAGGAAATGGATAGAGGGGAAAGAAAAACGAAAGGAAGGGAGTAAATGCAGGGGCGTTTTCTAGCTCGCCTTGCCTCCTCCACCTCTCTGGGGGCCTCATCTTTTCCGCAGCAAAAAAGGCTTTCGTGGAAGGCCACTCTGTGGCTTTGATTCTAACCGCGGCGACCAGAGCCTCTAGGACTTTGGCAGACCCCGAGTGCCAGCGCGGTGACCGGGCACCTGCCCACAGGGGACTTAGAGTGTGCCTAGGGACCTTCACCACGAAGCCGCCTCTCAACCCCGAAGCGACTGGAAGCCTGCGCTTCAGACCTCTTCTGGCCCGGCAGTCTCCCAGGTTCTGCACTCGCTGCCTAGTGGAGGCGATGTGAGCTGCTCCTCTCCCAGCAGCTGCGGCCCATGCCACAGGACCGCAGAGTCAGAGACCGCTGCATCTCCCAGTGACCTGATTCTTACTTCTACTCTGGGATCCCAGGTCGCACCAGAAGCCGCTAAGGGCAGCCATGGGTGTGAAAAGAGACAGGACCAGCGAAGGATTGCCAGGGACCCTGACTACCGAGAACCGTTTCCTCGGAGAGTCCCATAGATGTACCCTAACTTAAATTTCCAAAGGAAAACACATTCTTAAACAACAAACCCTACGAAACAAAAAAGGAGCCAATTCCCAAGATCGAATCTGCAAAGGCATTCCAACTTCCAAGTTCCAGGAAGTCAGAAAAGTTTCAAAACGAAAGTCCACACGGACATCGAACTAGCCGAAGAATTATGGAGACCGACTCTCCAACGAAAAAGCAATTTAGATGTAATCTCTGAGTGTGGGGACCGCGTAATTTTATATCCTCGACGGTTTTGTGTATTGAAGTCAATCTGATGACCTCTTTCTAGCAAAGTGCATGGGGCAGACGGCAGCCTGCCCAGACCACGCGTTGCCCTCTAAATCCAGGAGACCTCGGCTCCTCGGGCGTTACGCATCTGAGGCTTAAGCCGGCCTCCTCGCCGAAGGTCACTGCCACTGCCACCGTGGCAAACCTGCCTGGAGTCAAGAGGCAGGCTTAGAGAAAGAAAACACCAGATGAACGAACTCCATTTGGGGTTCTCCGGGGTGTTCCTGGAAAGAAAACTTACCCAGAGCGCCCTGGGAGTGTGGCGAACTTGGGGAAGCTCAGAGTTTGCTGTGGACTGGGGATGGGAATCGGAATCCCGTCAGGTGGTTGTCAGCACCCAGAGGAGAAGTAACCATTTGAAGAAATCTTCCTTCCAGCCACTCCAGGTCTCAAATTCTTTTTGCTGAGTGAGGTACATATCGATTGCAAGTGGAAAGAAAAGGAGACAAAAAGAAACCTTCAAGGTCCGGGGAGGGCTGGAGGGGAGCCCCACTTAGAAGCGCCCTGATGCTGGCCACTGGCCTGGCCTGGGCTGCTCTATTTGCCTCGTGGCACAGGGATCGGCTGCAGAATACGGTCCCTCCTGCGCGTGCTTGGGAAAGAAACTGCAGCTGGAGTTGGTAGGGATCGCAATCTCACACTCACGCTCTGGGGCTTGGCTGTTTCATCGGGTAACCCTCTCTCCTACCCGCCACAGCCGGCTGAAGTCCTGGGATCCTTCGGGCTCGCAAGTGGGAAAGGGGACGGGTTCCGCTCGAAGCCCCCTCTGGTGAGGAGATTGCGTCGAGGACCCCCTGCTTCCTGGAGTCCCCATTAGCAGGCCACCCGGGAGGGTGGCTGGTCTGGGGCGCTGAGGTCACCTTTTCCACGGTGCTTGCCTCTCCCAGAGCGGCCAGTTTCCGGGATTTTCGCTTAGGCGACAGCGGGAGGCCCTGGCGGGTCTCCGATTCAAGACTCAGAGACTGCACCTCTAGTGGGGGACGACTCCCCTTCTTTCCTTGTCCTCATGTGGAAGGGGGAACCCCTTTTCTGGTGAATCCCCTTCCAGCCTGCCAATGCAAACTTTCTAAACAAAGGGTCCCTGACGACGTTTCTTTGCATTTTTTTCGCCTAAAGGGGGTTTGTTCTCAGGTTTGCTTTAGGTTCCCTCGGACTTTAAAGAATGTACTTCGAAAAGATTGAGTCAGGGGCTCGAGCTGAAAGGGTGGGTGTATCAGGGCATAGACTGGCTTTCAGCCTTTAGTGCCAGGCAAAGCTTTTAGCCCTTGGGGGCCTCATTCCCAGCAGGCACGAATCATTGCAGGCATTCAGCTGGGCGGCTTGAAACAGCCCTGGCCAGAGTCCAAGGAACTGCGGGACTCGGAGGTGGGGGCGGGAGAGGGGCACACCTGTGGAATGAGTGAGGGTGGGTCTGCATGTGTCTCCTGACTCTCCACATCTAGAATTAAGGCCTTCATGTTGAAAGTGAGCCCCCTCTGCTCAACCTGACCTGAAGAGGCTTACTGGCAATAAAAACAGATTTGGTGACTGGGGGGAATCGGCCGTGTGAGTGGTCTTAGTGTCTCAGACCCCAGATTCTAGGGCCAATCTTGAGTTTTGAGAAACCGCCTGAAACTGGAAGAGGGCACAGAGGGTGCACAGACGGGAGACTTCAGTCAGGATCAAAATAAGAGGAGAGAAGCCAGGGTGAGGGCTGGCTGCGACTAACCCCCAATAGAAACCACTCGGGGCTATACTTCCAAAGCCCAGGGGGAACTGGAGGGGAGGAAGGGAGGGGCCTGATGTTCAGCCATCTAGGGATGGGCAGAGTGGAGACAGTGGAGGCAGGTGGAAGGGCCTTCATTCTGGCATGGACAGGGGACCACGGGAAGCCGTTTTTACTCCTTGGAGTGCCTGGGCCAGTACTTGGTGGACTCAGCTGTCTTAGAAAGTAAGTAGTTGAACTACCCATCCAGACCAGGGAGCCATCTGGAATTGCTGTGTCCAGAACAGACGACGACTGTCCTCTCTGTCCAGTAGGAAGGAAGGTGACTATTGAATCAACAAAAGTGGGCAAACCCTTGCCACTCCATCGGGTACAGTAGGTCTTACTGGGTGCCATACCACCTTTTCTGAAACAGTGATTTTGGCTAGCTGATCATCCCCTCTGGCTCAGAAAGTCACTAAATAATTGGTTGGGCTGTGGGAAGGGGCTTTCAGGGTCTAGCTCTCACCAGAACATCTGGAAAGGAGTTCTTTGTCCTCTTCCCAGCCTCATGGACAATGGATTTTGGCCATCTCCTAATGTCTCAGACGGTGTAGTCCAGGGCCTCAGAGGCCCCCTGTCAGCGGGCAGAAGAAGTGATTTCAAGTTGGGAAGGTGCTGGGATGTGGGTGTGGTGAACTCAATTTCCCAAAGGTGAGGACTTGGGCTTTGCAGAGACCTCACACTGGAAGGAGTGGCCTAAGACAGGAGTCTAGTCCAGGAGGCACTGACCGTCAGGGTTGGATAGAGTGGAGACCAGTGGAGACAGAACACAAGACTCCAGACTGGGCAGGTGGGAAGCGCGGCAACTCCTCCTGCAACCTCCTGGGGGACACGCCATCCTTTTTTGTCACCCTTGAGCCACCTGTGTAGCACACCACCCTCCTTCCCTCCCTTCCGGGAGCTCACACTTTCAGTTCCCACAAACTTCCTAGAGCCAACTGTCAGTTTCTCCTCCAGACAGGAGGCAGCTCAGAAAGTAGCAATAAATACCAAGATCTAAGGTCATAAACTCAACAGTTTAGCTTGGAGAACTGGCGTGCTAAGGAAAAAGAGAAAGATGGAAACTCATCATCCTTAGTCCTGTGAGAGACTGGACTCCAGACTCTCAGAGCACCCCGTGAATACCCGCCCCCAAATCCATCCATTAACAGGTTTTCCTTTTTGTTCCTCCAAACTAAGAACAGGTGAAGCGTTATGCTGCCTCTTGTTTTAATTGAGGGAACATAGCTCAGCGCACCGAGTCTAGCGGTTGCCAAGGAAAATGTGTCCAGGTATGCTTAAATTCGAAACCGAAGGAAATTCCTAGTTGGGGAATCTTTTTTTTCTCTCTCAGGGCAGCTTCCAGGGAGTTGAGACCAGAATGGTAAACTGAGGTCGAGGTGGACCTTGAAGGGTGGTGGCGCAGAGGTGTGGTGACCACCCTGCGAATTACACCTCTGTGTACTGCTGCGACTCACCCCTATAGTATCCCCCAGTCCTGGGGAGGCTGCTTAGGGCTACCCTTTTCCCTGATGAGCTGCGAGGCTTTTGCCCCTCCCCCTCCTGGTCTCTCCAGCCCCTCCCCATCCCACCCAGGCCCCGGCCTTGCTGTTCCGCCCTCCCGCACCTCGGGCTCTCTCCCCACTCTAGGTCCCAGCGCACTTACGTCCAGGAGGCGTCTTGAACACCTTCACCTCACTGCAGGGTATCCTGCGCGGTCCTTGCTGTCTGCCACCAGATTCCTTCTCGCCTCTCACTCATGAGCCCTGATTCGCTCTTCTCTGCAGTGTCCTGTCCCCGAGGCTGTCCTCTTGGGCGC